TAATATATTAATGTTTGATAATAAGAAAAAAGTTCCATCTCATGTTATTGTACCAAAGAAGGGGATAATACACTAGAGGAGCATGAGAACTGTTTGCTTGCTAAATGCTTCTGAAGGTTTAGCAAGGATTTTAGTATAATAGAACCAAGTAAAGAGAAATGGGGGGAAAAATTCCTGCCCCTTCTAGAAGAAAGACCTCCAAGAATTTTACATAAATTGTGTTTTGTTTTTTGTTTTTTTTGCCCTCCTTCCATCCTCTTTATTTATTGCTAGTACTAGGGCTTGAACTTGGCCTCACACTCACTTGGCTTATTTTCACTCAAGGCTAACACTCTATCATGTGAGCCACAACTCCAATTCTGATATTTTAGTGGTTAATTAGAGATAAATCTCACCGACTTTCTGCTGGCTTCCAACTGTCATAGTCCTATCTCAGGCTCCTAAGTGGCTATGATTACAGACATGAGCCACCAGTACCTGGTCATTTGTCTACTTTATTAAGCTGTCCCCATACATCACAGAATACTATCCCCTCCTTGAGTGTAACTCTATTTCCCTTCACTGCCCCTTTCTCTGATCTGAGTCTGTAGATTCTCTTAAAACAGAAACAGCAATGCTGTTCAGACCAGTTCTGGATATTCAAAGTAAGAGTGGTAGGTGGGGATGGATATGCATGAGATGGGGATTTTTCATTTTTCTTTCTTTCTTCTGGGGATCAAACCCACGGTCTCACAACATACTAGGCAGGCACTGACACCCCCAGCATTGGAGATGTTAATCTGTCATAATTATTACATCAAGGTATCTCACACACACACACACACACACACACACACACACACACACACACACACACACACACACACACACACACACACACACGTCCTACATCCTTAACACTCAATGTTTTATCCCAGATCATGGTGAGTTCTTATCTCCAGGTAAATAACAATATCCATGAAACCGTTCCCTATCCTCCATTCCATTCCCAAATCTTCCTTTAACATAGGAGATAATTTCTGAGTAGTTCCCATTAAAGCACAAGCCAATGAAAGAAGTTAAAATGCTACTATCAAAGCTGAAGAGGGTGGTACATTCCTGCAATGAGACGAGAGGCTGAGGTACAAAGATCTAGAATTTGAGGACAGTCTTGGCTATGTAGTGACACCATGTCTCAAAAAATACACACACACAACCAAGTGTTGGTGACTCACACCTGTAATATATGCTGGAGGCTGAGATCTGAGGGTTGTGATTTAAAGCCATTCCAGGTAGCAAAGCCCATAAGACTCTATTTCCAATTAACCACCAAAAAGCCAGAAGTAGAGCTGTAGCTCAAGTGGTAGAACATCAGCCTTAAGAGAAAAAGCTAAGGGAAAGTGTCTAGGTCCTGAGTTCAAGCCTCAGAACTCTGTCTCTCTCTCTCATAATAACAATTTTAAAAATTGAAGAAAAAAAAAAAGCTAGGCAAAGAGGGGAAAAACTGGAAGAGAGTAAGGGAAGGGGTGACATTATCCAAAAAGAAATGTATTCATGGGCTGGGAATGTGGCTTAGTGGTAGAGTGCTTGCCTAGCATGCATGAAAACCTGGGTTCAATTCCTCAGTCCACATAAACAGAAAAAGCCAGAAGTGGCACTGTGGCTCAAGAGGTAGAATGCTAGCCTCGAGCAAATGAAGCTCAGGGACAGTGCCCAGGCCCTGAGTTTAAGCCCCAGGACTGACAAAAAAATGAAACAAAAGCCAGGCGCTGGTGGCTCACGCCTGTAATCCTAGCTACTCAGGAGGCTGAGATCTGAGGATCGCGGTTCAAAGCCAGCCCGGGCAGGAGAGACCGTGAGACTCCTATCTCCAATAAACCACCAGAAAACCGGAAGTGGCGCTGTAGCTCAAGTGGTAGAGCGCTCGCCTTGAGCTGAAGAGCTGAGGGACAGTGCCCAGGCCCAGAGTTCAAGCCCCACGACCAACAAAAAAAAAAAGAAACAAAAAATGAGTGGGGGGGGGGGACAAAAAAAAAAAGACATGTATTCATTACCTGACTTATGTACCTGTAACCTCTTTGTACATCATCTTTATAGTAATAAAATAAGCCTTTATTACAAAACTTTCCTTTTGACATTCTAAAATGAAAGTCAACATGGTATTTCCCAATTCCAAGGCTATTATCTGACACACTCATCAAAAGTGGCTGAGTGACAAACTATTCTCAAATCTGCAGAAGCCATGAATCATGCATCCTCAGGGCCTTTAACCCATATCTGTCCCACCTGTCCTCCAACCCTAACACAGAACTGTAAACATTAAAAATCTCAGTCTCGGGGCTGAGAAGATGGCTCAGTGGCAGAGCGCTTGCCTTGCATGCAAGAGGCCCTGGGTTCGATTCCTCAATACCACATAAGCAAAAAAAAGCTGGAAGTGGCGCTGTGGTTCAAGTGGTAGAGCACTAGCCTTGAGCTGAAGAGCTCAGGGACAGCGCCCAGGCCCAGAGTTCAGGCCCACAACCGACAAAAAAAAAAAATCTCAGCCTCACTGAACCATTTAATAATCACCTCTTTTATGTCCATGTGGACGTTATTGCCTCTGGGGGAGGGGAGGACGTACTGGTGTGTATTCTTCAACTAATGGTTTAATTTTTCTTCCTTTTTAGATCCTTAATAGAAAACACAATTCAGTTAGGGATTTCTAGATAGGAATACAAAATATACCAAAGTAGAACCTACCATCTTCCAAAGTAATAAGCAAAATCAAACACAGAATACCCTTATTTGCCTTCTTACAATTTAGACTAGGTACTGGACATGGTGGTACATACCTGTGAAGGCTAAGGCAGGAGACTCATGAGTTCAAGGCCAGCCCAAACTAGTGAACAGCCTACCTCAAAATAGATAGCTTTGGGGGCTTGGAAGGTGGCTCAGTGGTAGAGTGCTTGCCTTGCATGCATGAGGCCCTGGGTTTGATTCCTCAGCACCACATAAGCAAAAAGAAAAAAGCTGGAAGTGACGCTGTGGCTCAAGTGGTAGAGCACTAGCCTTGAGCTGAAGAGCTAAGGGACAGCACCCAGGCCCAGAGTTCAGACCCCACGACCAGACCCAAATAAATAAATAAATAAATAAATAGATTTGGGGAAATATGGTAGATGGAAAATTGAAATTTAAAGACACAAAAGGGTCCCCATGGGAAGACAATGAAAGCAATGAGAATCAGGCCAATATTGCTAATTCCTAGTCTAAACTACTATTAAAGTAATTCTAGTAACTTGAAGTTCCCCCTTCCCACCTACTGCTGTCAATACAGCAGTTTTTCCTATAGTCACTGGTGGGAGGGTGGGCACTTTCTCTTTTCACTTGGTGGAATGGGCCAAACAGAACCCCTAAGCAAGGGGCTGGGAAGGTGGCTCAGTGGTAGAGCACTTGCCTTGCATGCATAAGGCCCTGGGTTCAATTCCTCAGCACCACATAAGCAAAAAGAAAAAAGCCGGAAGTGGCGCTGTGGCTCAAGTGGTAGAGCGCTAGCCTTGAGCTGAAGAGCTGAGGGACAGCGCCCAGGCTCAGAGTTCAAGCCCCAGGACTGGACCCCCCCCACCAAAAAAAAAAAAAGAACCCCTAAGCATACTGAGTGCTATCTTACAGCAGAGGAAGGTCTGGCCTTGCTTTAGGAGGTTCTGGAACAAGCTCTGCCTTGAGTAAGAACCAAGAAGCAGCTAGGCACCAGTGGCCCAGGCCTGTAATTCTAGCTACACAGAAGGCAGCTCAGGAAGTAAAGTCTGTGAGACTCTTTATCTCTCCAAACAACCAAAAAGCCAGAAGTAGAGTTATGGCTCAAGTGGTAGAGTGCTAGCCTTGAATAAAAAAGCTGGGAACAGTGCTTAAGCCCTGAGTTCAAGCCTCAACATTGGCACAAAAAAGAGGGGGCAGGAAGAGGCAGCATGGGAGGCAGGACAGTAACCTTGGAAGTAGTCTCAGGTTGTTAGGAAGTCGGGCAGATTTTGGGAGGAGGAGGGCCACTACTGATCTTGAACTCAGGACCTGGGAGATGACCCTTAGCTTCTTTGCTCAAAGCTAGGCTCTACCACTTTAGCCACAACTCCACTTTCAGCTTTTTTGGTGGTTAACTGGAGCTAAGATTGTCATGGACTTTTCTGCCCATGCTGGCTTCAAACTGTGATTCTCAGATCACAGCCTCCTAATTAGTTAGAATTACAGATATGAGCCACCAGCACTGAGGAAGATACTTTCTTGTTTGTACAAAGAAGCCCAAGAGACCCCCAGAGACCTCATTTCCCAAACTCCCCACAAAAGAAAGTTTTGACAAACCAAGTTTTTATTTTCAACAACATCCAGCTAATACAAACACACAGAAACTCAACCTCATCAAAGAGCTAAGAAGCCCTCCAACACACAACCCAATTTCAGCTAAGACCACACACACACACACACACACACACACACACACACACCACATACTCACGCAGCTCAGCAAAGAGCCAAGAGTAATATATACATTCCCCCCCCCCCCCCCCCGCAGACATCTCAAAAGGGTCTGTCTAGTTGTTCCAGCCAAAGAAAGGAAAGGCTGATGGCTACCCACTTCAGCTTTTTCTTTACTTTGGTGGTTTGAAAGCTTCTTTGTTCCTCATCTCCTGAAAGTTGACCATGCTTTCCCATGTTCCTATGGACAGCAGTCTGCTTGTGTTCAGGAAGATGGAGCAGAAGATTCCTCATGTTGCTCTTCATGGAGAGATGGAAGAGTGGGCTCCAGAGATGGAAGAGACAATGTCGTCACCAAACACTTCAACCACTCTTCTCTGGAGAACAGCCCTGTACACCAGTCCTCATTATGGGAGGAGAGAGCCTAGCAATTAGGCTCAAAATCCTTATTTAATGGCCACTACAGACCAAGTAGTGGTTTTCTTACTGTCTACAGGCACACCCAGAACTCCTGCCTGATCCCTCATGGGGATCGGGGAATGGGCATTTTGAACAAGTCTCAGACCACTCAGCAGTGGGAGAAAGAAGAAAGGCACCCATTGCTGATGTTATTAAAATCACATCCTAACTAAGATAAAGTGGGGATGGGGTTCTAAAGGACATTGAAGGCATCCTGTGAAGGCACTGACATCTGGTAGCACCTGAGTGTGACAAGCAGAGATGAGCCCAACTGGGTCACACCAGGAAGGATGAGGTCTGTTTGAACTCCCCCTGGGGAAATAAGAAAATATCCAGTCAACTCAATGGTGGTCTGTAGCTAATAAACCCTAGGAAACACATATAATAAACACAGCCTAGAAATCCTTTGGCTTTAGGCAGGGCCTCCCTTCCCCAGGGCAAGCAAACTCACATCACTTCGAGCACTCGGTTGGCTGTAAATCACCTTCTTGGTGGAAGCCCTGTGGACAAGCAGAAGATGGAGGTGCTTAGACCCCTAGGTGTCCATTAATCCCGCATTGTCAATCCTAGAGGCCAGAACTAAAAACTTTTGTAAAAGTTAAGAGTGTTCAATAGGAAAAGTGTGAATAGAAGAAGACAACACAAACTCAGGATCACCAAGAACAGAAATCCAGCTGGGCACCGGTGGCTCATGCCTATAATCCTAGCCACTCAAGGACACTAAGATATGATGATCCTGATTCAAAGCCAACTTAGGAAGACAAATCTAGAGTGAGATTCTTTTTTTTTTTTTTGTCGGTTGTGGGCCTGAACTCTGGGCCTGCACACTGTCCCTCAGCTCTTCAGCTCAACGCAAGCGCTCTACCGCTTGAGCCACAGCACCACTTCCAACTTTTTCTGCGTATGTGGTGCTGAGGAATCAAACCCAGGGCCTCATGCATGCAAGGCAAGCGCTCTACCACTGAGCCACCTTCCCAGCCTTAGAGCAAGAGTCGTATTTCCAACTAATCAGAAAGAAGCGAGAAGCAAAGCTGTGGTTCAAGTGGTAGAGCATCAAGCCTTGAGCAAAAAAAAACTAAAGGACAGAGCCCAGACCCTGAGTTCAAGCCCCAGTATAGCAAGAAAAAAGAAAAAAAGAATAGAAATCAGCTCCACCTCCAATCCCCCCACACGAGGAGACCACATCCCAATTTCAAACCAGAGATCCGTGTTCTTATCTTCAAAGAACCTCAGAGCAGCAGCTCACTCACCCTTTTTTTGCTCCTGAAAGAGAGGGGGAAAAAAGAGAAACCATTTTAGCAGAACAGAATACATCATCCCATGGATAGGTGGGAGAACTGATAGATGGCACTTAATACAGGCTTGATCAAGTCATCTGTGTTCCCTGGGAAGAGGGTGCCAGCACACAGTATTGCGGTGCATATTCAAATGTACCCATAAGCCGGGCACCGGTGGCTCATGCCTGTAATCCTATCTACTCAGGAGGCTGAGATCTGAGGATCGCAGTTCAAAGTCAGCCCAGGCATGGAAGTCTGTGAGATTCTTATCTCCAATGAACCACCAGAAAACCAAAAGTGGTCTTGTGTCTCAAGTGGTAGAGCCTTGAGCTGAAGAACTCAGGGACAGCATCCAGGCCTAGAGTTCAAGCCCCATGACTGACAAAAAAAAAAGTACCCATAAACCATGCCCTGAACTGGGGACAATACAAAGGAAGGCCACCATGGGCAAATACTTACTGTAAAAGTAGCCTCGGCTATAGGCAAACCAGATACCAAAAATCAAGACTCCAAGAAGAATCAGTGTCACTAGGACAGCTGCCACGATGCCCCCCACGTTCAGTTCCACTGTGAGACACAAAGAAGATGTCAGGGCCCTCGATGCTAGTGGCAGGATGAAAAGCAATCCCAATGCCACCCCAGCTCTGACTGCAAGTCCCTCCACACCATCCCTCACCTGCTTCCATGTGTGAACTGTCCGACAGCATGGCTACCCCGTAGCCATTGCGTGCCTCACACTTGTATTCTCCGGTATCAGAGGCCGTCACAGGATCAAAGATCTGGAGGGAAAGAAAAATAGGCCTTTTGCCTCAAGATCCTATGTCTCCTGATCCTAAGTCCACGTTCACTTTGTTGCTTGTTCCTCCTCCTTAACTTCAGGGGCTCTAAATGTATGCCTTCCCAACCTTCCACCTTCCCTTCATTCGTACCAGCTCCCCTGTCTCGGGATTCAGGGTATAGGAGGAATTGCTAAAGGCTCGGTTCTGGGCAGGATCCACAGGCATGCGAACGCCATTCCTGAACCAGTAGTATTGAGAAGGCGGGGATCCATCTTGTTCTGAGCAGGTTAGCACAGCCCGGTTCCCAATGGTGGCAGAGGAGGGGACGTCTAATGTAGGCTTGGATGGAGGCACTAGGAAATTAGAGAAGAAGGCACTGAACACATGGGCAAAGAGTGTTGCATAAGTCACAGACTAGGATAACACTATATTTAATGAGCTCTAAAAACCCATTCAGCTAGTTGGGCACTAGTGGCTCATACCTGTAATCCTAGCTACTCAGGAGACTGAGACAATCGTAGTTCGAAATCAGCCTGGGCAGGAAAATTTATGAGACCCTTATCTCCAATAAACTACTCTATATCTCCAATAAACTAGGAAGTGGCACTATTCCTCAGGACCAGCACAAAAAAAAAAGAACCCACCCACCCCCTCACTCCACTTTTTTTTTTTTTTAATGCTAGTGCTAGGGCTTGAACTGAGTGTCTGGGCACTATCCCTGAACTTTTTCTCACAAGGCTAGTGCTGTACTACGTGAGCCACAGCTCCACTTCTGACTTGTTGATGATTAACTAGAGATGAAATTCTCACTGACAGGTAATGTCTGGGCTGGCTTCAGCCATCCTCAGATCTCAGCCTGCTCAGTATCTAGGATTACAGGCATGAGCCACCTGTACCAAGCTAAGCATTTATTTATTTATTTATTTGTCCTTACTCCTTAGTTTCCAGTTACCCAGGTTGTCACTCCCTGGCTGTGACTCGAAACACTTTCTATTTGCAAGCATTCTCACCATCAAGGAGCTCTAAGCTTAGCAAAGTCTGCTACAAGTTGGCAGGGCTGGGGTTTAAACTCAGAACTTCTTCATTTGCTCAGCTTGCTTGCTTGGCTGGTGCTCTAGCACTTGATCCAAGTCTCCAGCCTAGCTTTTTGCTGGTTATTTTGGAGATAGAGACATGTAGACTTTTCTGCCCAGGCTAGCTTTGAACTGCAATCCACCAGATCTCAGCCTGAGTATTTAGAATTATAGACATGAGCCACTAGCACCCAGCTGCTATAGGCTTTTTTTTTTTTTAAAGGGAAGCAACCTTGGCTAGGCCCACACAGAAGTCAGATGACACCTACCAACCACAAGGAGCTGGATGGTGACTTCCCCATAGTTATTGCCATTGTCTTCAGTGACCATACAAGTATACATCCCACTGTCTTTCCGGGTCACAGATTTAAAGGTGATGCCAGTCGGTGAGAAGGTAACTCGGTCTTCATAGGAAGCTACCAGAAGGAAGCAGTGGCAAAGCCAGGGTGAACTAGAGAGCTAAGAGACACTGATGAAAGTGACACCCAGGGCACAGGAAGGGAATGGGGAACTGGTGGGAGCCCTGAGCAGCCAGGGTGTGTGCCCCACCCCTGGAATCCAGGGGAGGAGAACAGCCCCACAATCGAACAAGCAGGAAGGAAGAAGGGAAACTCACCTGTGATCTTGCTGTTATAGCAAATTAGCCTGGTGGTGTCACCTTGGACAAACTTCCACTCCACACGGGGGTTGGAGAACCCAGAGTAGGAGCAGGACAACTTGACCGCTGTCCACAGGATCAAAAATGAGAGAGAGGGAAGAAGGAGCAGCCCAAACGCCAGACTGGGCTGCCTGTTCTCCCTGCCCCCCCCCCCCCAGGTCTGGCACCTGCCTGCCCTCACATCCACCCTGGTCCACCCTGCCTGCCCTCCACCGTCCCAGCCCACTCACAGTTATTTTGAGGAACTCGAACTAAAGTTTCAGACGTGTACACTGTACCCTTGCTGAGCACCAGGGGATCTGAAGAGAAGAAAAGAGGATCCCATTAAAAGGGGACAGAAAAAAAAAAGGGGGGAGGGACAGAGACTACCGTAGAGAGGGAACAGTCCCAGCAAAAGGGGCTGAAATCCTAATAGTGAAGACAGCAGAGCCTCTCCCAACTTAGTTCTCATACTCTCTGGCTGTTATCCTGAAAATCTTCTCAAAATGTGACCAAGGGTGAACAAATGCAGCAGTAGTTCTCACTAGACACTATGCTGAAAATGAACTAAACAACTTGTGGGTGGGGGTGGAAGGGAAAAACTGGGAGACAGCAAGGAAAGGGGTGACATCCAAAAGGAAATGTACTCATTGCCTGACTAATGTAACTGTAACTCCTCTGTACCTCATCTTTATAATTACAATAAAAAATAAACATCAAAAAAAACAGTTTGGGGCTGGAAAGGTGGTTCATTGGTAGAGTGCTTGCCTTGCATGCATGAGGCCCTGGGTTCGATTCCTCAGCACCACAAAAGCAGAAAAAACCGAAATAGCTCTGTGGCTCAAGTGGTATAGTGCTAGCCTTGAGCTGAAGAGTTGAGGGACAGTGCCCATGCCCAGAGTTCAAGCCCCAGGACTGACTAAAAAAAAAAAAAAAAAGCTTGGTTACTTATGCCTACCTACTCAGTAATAATGAGGTCTGAGGATCTTGATTTCCAGCCAGGGCAAGTCCATCAGACTCTTATTTCCACATAACCAGCAAAAAGCAGTGGTTCAAGTGGTAGAGCACTAGCCTTACGTGAAAAAGCTAAGGGGAAGCACAGAAATGGTGGGACAAAGATCTCAAGTAAGTCAGCAGTGATACCCACTAGCCATTACATTGAAAATGAACTATACAGATGGCGACGGGGCAGTAGGGAAACGCCACAGCTCTCTCCAACCAAAAAGAGAGTTCGAGTTCCAACCTTTAATCTCCCCAAGAGACCGACAACAACAAAAAGACGAACACTCAGAGAAAAACCAGAGGTGGAAAATAACAAAAAAAGAAAGAGAGGAAAAGAAGAATTTCAGAACAGAGAAGAGCGAAGACCCCTCCCCCAACCTTTACTGGCCGCGCGGCAGTGCGCCAAGCCCCCGGCCAGCCGGCCCGGCGGGGGCTGCCGGAGCCACAGAGACACAGGGGGCTGCTTGCAGATCACCAGGTACCGGATTGCAGAACAGCGGATCGCCAGGAACAGAGAAACCTACCAGCCGGGAGTCTCCAGGAGGATCCCACCCCACCCATCACTCTCCACCGGAGCGGAGAGGCTCCATCCCGCCAAAGCTGCCCGGCACCAGCAGCGCCACAAAGGGACCTGTCCGCAGACCTCCCGCCCAATCGCGATCGCAACGACCCGGCGGGGGCCGCCCAACCCAGCCCACAACCACCCCAACTGAACTCGGACTGCAACAACAACTGACGGACTGCAACAACAACTGACGACCTACAGGGTGAGTACCCATCAGGGGACAGGGAATCCATCAAGGGAGACCAGAGCTGGAGGGAATCCCCAGACCCTGACCTAGACTCCCTACCCCAACACCCGGACCACAGGACCCACTAAAACTGGGAACTGTTCGAGAGCCCCACCAGCCGGTGGAGCACACTCTGCTGGCCAGGCCAGAGCAAGAGCGCCCCGGGAAGGGAGCTTAAATGCTCAAGCCAGGAACAGTGCCCCTGGGTCAAGACTACCAACAGTAGAAGAAATTTGAACTGTGTCCTCCAGGCTGCATAACCTAGGTGGTATACACATTAGCACAGGCCTAACGAGCGCGCTCCAGGCTGGGGCCGGAACCAGGCCAGGGGACCGGCGCCTGAACAAAGCAAAAAGGGTCAGAAGTGGGGCTGTGGCTCAAATGGTAGGGTGCCAGCCCTGAGCTGAAGAGCTGAGGGACAGCACCCAAACCTAGAGTTCAAGCCCACAACCAGCCCAAAACAAACAAACAAAAACACATCAGGAGCCCATAGCAGACTCCAGTATTTGGGAGAGTGCATCCAGAGCATCTGATCTTCCCAAGAGCACCCGCAGGAGCAAACACAAGCAGTCTAGGCTGCTCAACCCTTCCAAAGGCGGGAATTGCTACAGCAGAGAGCTGAGAATCCTAAGTGAATAGCAGCTGGAAATAGGCTCCCAACAGAATCCAGATCAGACACAGACTCTCTCTACCAATAGAGAATCAGCAACCAAGCAAAAACAGACACACCAAAACAAGATTGAAGAGCAGTCTCCTGAACCCCCATGCGAAAATCACAGAGAAAAATCACAAGGTTTACCACTACCCAGGACAGCAAGCTCACCTCAAAAGCCAGCAGCCACGCAGGGGAGAGCCCCAGTGGGAGCAAAGCAGGAATGGAAGACAAAAACTACATCCAAGGGTTGCTGGAGGCAATGACTCAAGAAATAAAGCGAGAAATGGATCAGAAATTGAAAGAGCACAAGGATGAACTATCAAAAGATATACAGGATATCAAACAAAAATTGGATGCAAAAATAGAAGCTGCACAAACCTCAGTAAGAAGTGAGATAAACGCCAAATTAGAGGTAATGCATACTGATATCACCTCATTGAGAGGTGAGATCAGTACTCTGAGAACCAACATTGAATCCATAAAGGGATCCATTTCCACCATGCAAACCACAATAGAAGCCACGGTCAACAGAGTGAATGAAATGGAAGGTAGAGTGTCAGATACAGAAGACAGAATACACCAACTGGACCAAAAAGTGACAGATATGGAAAAATCACTCAAATTAAACCAAAGGGAAATTCAAGAGCAAGCAGATAATGCTAAAAAATTTAACCTTCGCATAATCGGAGTGGACGAAGGTGAGGAATTCCAGAGCAAGGGAATGCAACACCTATTTAACAAGATAGTCAATGAAAATTTTCCCCACCTCAAAAACGACCATCTTAACTACATCACAAAAGCTTATCGAACACCCAACAAGCAAGATCCCAGGAGAAACACTTCTAGGCACATAATAGTAACAATGATGGATCTGAATAATAAGGAAACAATCCTGCATGCAGCAAAAATGAAGAAGGAGCTATACTACAACGGGAAAAAAATTAGAATCACTGCAGATCTCTCCACACAAACAATGAATGCAAGAAAAGCCTGGGAAAGCACCATACGAGCCCTGAGAGCCAATAACTGCCAACCCAGACTGATATACCCGGCAAAGCTAGCATTCACATTCGATGGAGAACTGAAAACTTTTAATAGCAAAGAAAAACTAAATGAATACATAAACATTAAGCCAGCATTACAAAGAATTCTAAGAGGGGGGACACAACCTGAAGAAAGCAACCAGGAACTGGGACCTGCCCCAAACAGGCATTACTCAAAGTCTAACTGAGCAAGCACAGGAGGAAAGGAAAGAAGAAAAACTTAGGAAAACGGAATGGCAGGGACAACAATGCATCTCTCTATACTTTCTCTTAATATAAATGGGCTGAATTCGCCAATTAAAAGAAAACGAACTGAGGACTGGATCAGAAAACAAGACCCATCCATCTGTTGCCTTCAGGAGACCCACCTCTCAGCCAAACATACAAACAAACTCAGAGTGAAGGGGTGGAAAAGGATCTACCAATCAAATTCCCCCAATAAGAAAGCAGGTGTAGCTATCCTGATATCTGACAAAATAAACTTTTCATTAAAATCAGTACAGAAAGACAAGGACGGACATTACATATTAATAAAGGGAACAATCCAAGAGGAGGATATAACCATCATCAACTTATATGCCCCAAATATCGGTGCACCCAGATATGTTAAACAAATGCTCTCAAACTTACAGAATAAAATAGATCCCAATACGATAATACTAGGAGACTTTAACACGCCACTCTCACCAAAGGACAGGTCTACCAACCAGAGGATTGGCAAAGAAGCTACCGAATTAAGTGAGGCCATACTTCAAGCGGAATTAACTGACATCTACCGAGTATTTCACCCTAAAACAACACAGTACACATTCTTCTCAGCAGCTCATGGAACTTTCTCCAAAATAGACCATATCATAGTTCATTCAAGGAACTTAAGCAAATACAAAGGGATCGACATAATCCCCTGTATCCTATCTGACCACAGTGGAATCAAGCTAGCTCTCAATAACAAAGCATACCGCAGAAATTTCTCTAATACATGGAAATTGAACAGCACACTCCTTAACAAGGCCTGGGTAACAGAAGAGATCAGAGAAGAAATAAAGCATTTCCTAGAACTCAATGAAAATGAAAACACCTCACAAAGAAACTTGTGGGACACAGCAAAAGCAGTCCTGAGGGGCAAATTTATTGCCCTCAGTGCCCACATCAAGAGAATGGAGACAGACCAAGTAAATAATCTCATGTTGCAACTAAAACAGCTAGAAAAACAAGAAAAAATGGGACCTAAAGCTACTAGACGAAGCCAGATAACCAAATTGAGAGCAGAGATTAACCAATTAGAAAATCAGAAAACCATAACCAAAATAAACCAAACAAAAAGCTGGTTCTTTGAAAAAATAAACAAAATTGATGGCCCGTTGGCAAGATTAATTAAAAAAAGAAGAGAGGAAACCCATATTAATAGGATTAGGGATGCCACGGGAAACATCACAACACGTACCCAAGATATCCAAACAATTCTAACAGACTACTTTCAAAAGCTATACTCTCTAAAGGAAGAAAATCTGGCGGAAATGGATGCATTTTTAGAGAAATACAAGTTACCCAAACTGAGCAAAGAAGAAGTTAACCAATTAAATAAGCCAATATCCTATAATGAGATACAGGAAGCTATCAAAAGTCTTCCAACAAAAAAAAGCCCAGGACCAGATGGATTCACAGCAGAATTCTATAAGACCTTTAAAGAAGAACTAATACCCATACTCCTCAAGCTCTTCAGAGAAACAGAGAAGGAGGGAGCTATCCCAAACTCATTCTACGAAGCCAATATCACACTCATCCCCAAACCAGGCAAAGACCCAACCAAAAAGGAGAATTACAGGCCA